TTTTTAGAAGTTGTGTGTGTCTGCAAGTTGTGAGCAGAATGAGAGTGTTGTGCAACTCTTCAGGGGGAGTAGCACAGGTGTGTGTATACTTCAGGATGTATGTCATCCTGAATGTTATAACATCCAGAGCAGACTGAATGAATATGTGTGACTATAGACTGTTTACAAGAGAAGTGTTCAACTGATAAAGATGTATCAGTTGAGGGGGAGTAACTCTACTCAGCAAAGAGTGACATCTGTAGTGGTAACTAACAGATGGTTAACAAGGTGCGTTATAACAGTGAGAGCTAACTGTGAGGACTCAGAGTGGTTTGAGCTAGTAACTTTCCTGCATCATAAGTCTTCTGCTGTGTAAATCTCTAATGTAATGACAGAGCGTTTTAGCCAAAAATTTGTCAAAGGGGGAGTTTGTAAGTGCTCTTGATTAGCTGCATTTTATGGCAAAACACTAGAGCACGTATGTATGTTATGACTAATGTTAGTGCATACATAATATGGTCTGTGCAGGGTAAGTTGACTTAGCTAAAAGCAAGTTAAGCTGGATGTCATACCCAATATTATGACTTGGGTCGTATGACATCAAGCGCAAGTTTGTTTTTCTGGTAGCTATAAACCAGGAAACAGAATAGGAGTTCAAGCTGGATATCAGGAGACTTTCTAGAAGCCCTAGGCGAACTAGAATATCCCTGAATTAAGTGGCAAGCGTGCAGATTATTGAAGATAGGTTTGTTATGGATAAAACCTAATTTATGCACCTTGGCCCAAAAGGACTGACCGCTGCTATAAATATTAGAAGAAGCAATCCTGAACAGCAGATTGAAGCAATCCTGACCGCTGCTATACTTGACAGAAGAATAGAGAGTGCAGATTGAAGAGTCCTTATGAGTGAAGAAGGCTAGTCTTCACATGTGAATTGAGTCTTAGGAATACTTGTACTCCAAGCAATTGTCTGTTGGATGATTGCATTGGTTAGGTAGATTCTAAGCTGTGTCTCACTCAAAGCTGTGAAGCAAGAGTGTGTGTACCTTGATTAAAGTTATGAAGCAAGATCAAGGTGTGTATGAAGTGTCTCCTCATATTGTTTTTGTAATTGTGAATTGTATATCACTGTGGTGTGATTGAGGGGGAGTGAGTGGGAATAATCAAGTCTAGAGTGTCTCTAGGCTGAATTGTCATTGGGTAGGTTTTAAGTGAGGAGTGCAAACTGTGTTGTTTGACTCTGAATTAATTATACTAATAATGAAGTTCCTCCCTGGCTTGGTAGCCCCTAGATGTAGGTGTTGTTGACACTGAACTAGGTAAACAATTAATGTGTTTTTACTGCTTTACTTTACAGTTAAATTAGTTAGTACAATAGTCAATGTCACAGTGGATGTTATAACTTTGGTAATAACATCCATCGTGTTCTTGCCAGAATTTTCAAAGACATTAATTGGAGTTTGAAAATTGAGAATTTTGGAGGGAATTCTGTTAATTAAATACGCAGTTGTTAAAACAGCTTCGCCCCACAAATAATTTGGTACTTTATTGGAAAAAAGTAGAGCTCTAGCAACCTTCAATAAATGTCTATTTTTTCTTTCTGCCACTCTATTTTGTTGAGGAGTATTAGGACATGAACTTTGATGTACATTCCTATTTTTTTAGAAAAAAATCATCCAGGATAGTGTTAAAATATTCTTTGCCATTATCACTTCTAAAAACTTGGATATTTGTTTGAAATTGGTTCTACACCATTGATAAAAAATTCTTTACAGCTTGACAAACATTTGATTTCCTCTTTAACAAGTATACCCAACATACTCTTGTATGGTCATCTATAAATGTGATAAACCATCTTTTGAGAGAGAGTGTACTCGTGCGGTTAGGGCCCCAAACATCACTGTGAATAATAGAAAACAGTTTTGATGGTTTATAAGGTTGTATTGGAAATTGGGAATGATGATGCTTTGCAAACTCATATGCTTCATATTTAGACGAAGAAAAATTCTTATTGTGAAATAACTTAGGAAACAAGTGTTTTAAGTAACCAAAACTAGGACCTAATCTTAAATGCCATACCATAATATTGTCATCTTTATTATTCAAAACAGAAAAAGACTCAAAGTAGGAACTTATTGTTAAAGGTAGTTGTGATGCATATCCAATGTCAAGGTAGTAGAGTACTCCATTCTCCTTAGCACTGCCAATCATCTTCCCCAAGTTCAAATCCTGAAAGATACAATGAGATCAGAAAAAATTAGTTTGACAATTTATATCTTGGGCTAATTTACTGACGGACATTAAATTACAGGATAAGTTTGACACATGAAGGACATTTTTAAGAGTTAATATTGGATACAATACAACTGACCATTTACCTGCAATGGCTGAAAAAGAGCCATCTGCAATTTTTATCTTTTGATTGCCTGCACATGGACTATATGAAGAGAATAAAGTAGATTCACCTATCATGTAATTGGAGGCACCTGAATCTACTATCAAAGTATGACTGAGACTGGCACTAAGAAGTGCAGAATTACCTTTTGTTGCTATAAAGCAAGAAAGGGTTGAAGACTCGAGGAGTTTGTACAGTCTGTCTAGTTGTTCTGTAGTAAATGGAAGCTGAGTTGTAGGGGATTACTGCCCTTGATCAGAATTACTAGCCTGAAATTCACGACCACCTTTCTTCTTCCAGTTCAGAGGTTTGCCTTTGAGCTTCCAATAGGTTTCACGTGTATGCCATTCGCGCTTGCAGTGATCATACCAAGGAACTTTATATGACCTTCTTCCCTCGTCAAGGTTCCTAGTAGCCAGAGCTGAACCTTCAGATTCAGAGCTTCGTAGTATCTTGCCCATCATAATTCCTTATCGTGCCTCCTCCTTTCTTACTTCTGCAAAAGTTTCACGAAGAGTTGGCAATGGTATTTTTCCAAAAACTCTACCTCTTACCTCATCAAGGTCTTTATTGAGCCCAGCTGGAAACATGAATACACGATCATTTTCTTTCCTCTTGAAAAATAAAATATTGTCTTCTGTACACCTCTAATTATCACTATAATAAAGATCCAACTCTTGCCACAGTGTCAACAACTCATTATACTAAATAGTTACGCTCCTATCACCTTGTTTCGCATGCCATAACTTAGATTTTAAACCAAATATTTGAGAGGAGTTTTGAATATCAGAGTATGTTTCCTTAACAACTTCCCACACATCCCTTGCGAAAGGCAAAACATGTAAGGCTTACCTATTCCAGTTTCCATGGAGCTTACCAGCCACGCAATAATCAAAGAGTTTTCATATTTCCATTGTTTGTAACAAGGATCTCTTGATGTCGGTTCAGCTACTGCTCCTGTTAAGAAACCAAGTTTCCCTTTGCTATCCAACACCAACCGAACAGTTTGAGCTCATTCATTATAGTTACTCACATTCAGCTTAGGGATATTGACCTTGAGGGAATATGAGGAACCCTCTTGATCATTACCGCCTATGTTGGAATAACTATCACCAAAGACAATGTTCATGTTTCCGTTGTTGCCGTTATTAATTCCAAAAACAATGTTAATATCTTTATTATTATCGTCATTATTGCCATTGTTGGTGACCACTGACGATTCCACTTGTTCGCCATCTCCATGACCACCTCCGTTCCCGCGGCCGCCGCCGTTTCCGCGACCACCTCCTTTGCTATGGCCATTGTCGTTGTTATTCGCCACAAGAGGTTAAACGGGTATGTGAATTGGATCGAGTAAAAAAGCGAGTCGAACAAAAATTTTTTTGAGACCCTAACCCCGAATCCCACTAGTTATAGAAAGCTTTACGCTAACCCTAACCCAGAGCTCTCGATACCATATTGTAAAAAATAGATAAAAGTTGTTGTAATCTTATTCCTCAGCTAAAGGTTGGTTTATATAATGAGAATACAATAAAAATAATTAATTATCTCCTTAATGGAGAATAAAAGAAAATAAATGACAATAAATATAAACAATCAAATATGGAAGTAATATATTTTCCAACAGTTTTCCACATTTCTAAGATAAAAAATCATAAGATCTTATGCTATAACAAGTAAAAAAAAAGCTCAAATTTATGCTAAGATCTTTCTATATGTTTTGATGTTGTAACCTTCCTTTGAGTCTTCAGCTTCCTTTTATAGAGACAAAAAAAGAGTCGTTGGAGGTTTTAATAACAACAAATTTAATGAAAAAGTATGCCAAGAGAGACGTTGGAGACTTGTATCTGGTCATAAGCTTTGTCCACTGAATAATAACATTGTCCACATCACTTTTTGAGTAACTAGGTATCTACCAAAAGGTAGTATAGAATGAAGAGGTCACATCACCATCCTTGAGTCTTGCAAAACTAAACCCTAGTTAACTCTATCCAGAAATATAGGGCTCTGATAAGACAAGTCTTCTTTGGTGTAGTGTACGGATCAACTGCTCTCCACGTCTTCAGAAACTGAGCTGTCATCAGAATTTGGATCATGAGTCCAAAGTCTAATGCCTTCAGAGTCTAATGAACATCTACATATTATGATAATCCAAAATATGAGTATTTCTTCGTCACTTATGCTTTCAAAAGGATTAATGATGAATTCTTTAGTTTATGATCCTGCACACTTGAACATATGTTAGCAAACTGATAACGCGTAAACACATAGTGTATTTTGACTTGACTCGCATGCATTATTAGTGTAATTTTCATTTGTTTCGGTAGTGTTATGTTGATATTCTCTGTGTATTTCAAGTATTTAACCCCCAGGATTCTTTGTGCAAGGAATTGGTGCAAAACAACAATATGAGAAAGAAAAATGGATAAAAGTGCTACTGTTACAAACTACCGGTCAAGAAACAAGAAAAATCAAGTCTTGGCAGCCTAACAGATGAACCATCAGAGAGCTGACGTCGGTCAGCCCTTTCGCCCTGCCTGAAGGACGGACCGTCGTCTAACTGACGACCGTCAGCCTGACACAGTCAGCATAGTGCGTCTAACTTACAAAGCTTAATGGAATTTTTATGAACTCTTTTGAAGAATTAGAAGGTGGGGCACTGACTGTACTTAATGATAGAAAAATTGTTCCTGGGTTGCCTCTTGTTCATGCTATTGATCCTTTAGTGCTAGGTGAATTTGAAAAGGTTCATGTCTTAACGTTTACTCACAGTTAATAGTAAAATTTCTGCATGATAAAATTTAGAAGAAATTATAAATTAATTTAGAACAATGAATTTATGGCCTAGTTTGTTTTAGCTTTTAAAAATGATTTTTTTCTTTGCATTTTTGAAAATGGATTCTACAAAAATATTTTTTTAAAATATTACAAATTTTTTAAAATTGTTTTTGATAAATTAAAAGACTAATTTTAACATATGATAACATAAATATACATTATTGGAGATCAAAACATAGTCAAAATCATAAGTTTTTCAAAAAGTTGTATTTTCAAAAATGATTTTTATGAAAAATATTTGAAATAGCTTCAAAATTAATTGATTTTTTGAAATTTTGATATCCAAATTTTTTTTCTGATAAAATGATAAAATACATAAAATAACATTTTAAGAATAACCATTCAAACTAAATTTTCATTTGAAACTTTTATGAAAAGTATTTTTGTAAAATTATTTCACATTAAAATACATTACACTATAAAAATAATTTTAAAAAAAAGACAAAACAAACGGGTCTTATATTAAGTTATAGTTAATAGTATTTTATAAACAAGTTGTGGCATGTTTTTCCTACACACTACCTCTTTTATTTTTATTTTTGTTATTTTTTCACTCTTCTCTTTTTATAATCAAGAATAAAACTTTTCTTGTTGTGAATTAGGATGCCTTAAAACAAAATATATTTGGTTTCTCTATGATCAAGAAATACACAAGGGTTAGGGTTAAGGAAAAACAAGGAGAACAACAAGGATTGGTTATAACAACTATTCTTTACTTTCTCTATAAAACATATTACAAGTACTCAAGAATAACAAATAACCCTCTCACCCTAATTAGGTTTTGGCACACCATACATAAGATGAGAGACTAGTATGTTATTTATAATAAAACCTAACATACTAAACTAATGGGCTTTTTAACAATTATCCATTACAAGCTAACTTAGGATACAAGCTAACTTAAATACTTAGATCATTAACACAAGGCTCAATTTGACAACTACATACTAGAACACAATTCGACTACAACATGTAGGTCTTCGACAACAACATGTGAGCAAACTTCGACGACATGCTAACTAGAGTTCGATCTAATATCTCACAAATATCCATCTTGGATCTAACTCTACCATCAAGAAACAAACTAGCTTTCTTCATGCAGCTTTATCAACTGCATACATTGGAAAAACTTGCAATTGGGCAACATCTTAGTGATCATATCAGCAGCATTATGATCTACCGAAACCTTCAGCACTTGGACTTCTCCACGCTCGATTACCCCTTTGACGAAATGCATCCCCATATCAATGCGCTTGGTTCGCTTATGATAGAATGAATTCTTCGATAGGTGTATTGAAGTTTGACTATCACATTTAATAGTGCCAACTCCAACTTGATGTTTCAGCTCCTTTGCAAAACCTTCAAGCCACTTTGACTGCTTTCTATCTCTTCAGATGTCAATTTCAAGAATCATGGACGCAACTCCCAGATCCTTCATGTCGAACTCCTTATTGAGTTCAACCTTCACCCTCATTACATATTCGACATTGTTTCTTGATATTATAATATCATCCATATAAAGCAACAAAATAACAAATGAATTACTAGGTCAAAATCTAAAGTAAACACATTGGTCGAACTGACTTCTAATAAAACTTATGCGTGCCATGAACTTGTCGAATCTCCTATTCCACTGTCGAGAAGATTGTTTCAGTCCATATAAGGATCTCTTCAGCTTGCACACATAATCTTCCTTCCCCTTTTCGACATACCCTTCAGGTTGCCTCATCAGGATTGTTTCATCTAGATCACCATACAAGAAAGCCGTCTTCACATCCATCTATTCCAGTTCAAGGTCGAATCGTGCCACCGTGGCAAGCAATATTCAAATGGATCTGTGCTTCAAAACAGGAGAGAACACATCATTCAAGTCGACACCTTTTTTTGAGTGAAACCCCTAGTGACCAATCTTTCCTTGTATCTTTTCAACGCTACTTCTTTGATTCCTTCCTTAACTTTGAAAATCCGTTTACAACTGACTAACCTGGCTCCAACAAGTTTCTTGATCAGTTCTCAGGTGTTGATATCATAAAAATATTTCATCTCATCATCCATGGCCTTCAGCCATTCATTCTTCTTTTGACTCCTCATAACTTTCTTATAGTCTTTAGGTTCTTCGTCCAGAACCTCACTTGCATAGTTTAAGGCATAAGCTATAAGATCTGCATATCCAAGTCTCCGAGGTGGCTTGATAACTCTCTTTGACATGTCTCATGCTAGCAGGTAGTCATTATTAGTCTCCTCATCTTCGACAACAGCTTCTGCTTCTTCTTCGACTTCATCTGGGGTACGCAATTCAACACTAACATATTCCACCTCAACAAGAATCTTTCCTTGTTCCATCTCTTCGTCAGCATCATTAGTTTTCTTTAAAGCCATCCCAACTTCATTGAAAACTACATCTCGACTGGTGATACATCTCTTGTGACCTGAATCTAGGCACTATAGCCTATAAGTTTTGACTCCTTTAGGGTATTCCATGGACATGCATTTCAGAGCTCTAGGTTCGACCTTGTCTTGCCTAATATGAGCATAGGCCTTACAACCAAATACTCTCAGTCTATCGAGACTAGGTGGATGTCCCAACCAAACTTCTTTAGGTGTCTTCATATCTAACACAGTCGAAGACATCTGTTTATCAGATATGTTACTGTTGAGACAACCTCAGCCTAAAACACCTTCTTTAAACCATCACTAGTCAACATACATCTAACTCTTTCCAAAATAGTTCTATTAAACCTTTCTGCCAAACCATTTTGTTGTGGAATCCCTGCAGTAGTTTTGTGTCTTGCAATACCTGAGGCAACACAAAAACTGTCAAACGCCTCATTGCAAAATTCAAGGCCATTGTCGATTCTCAACCTCTTGACCTTTTTGCCAGTTTGATTTTCGACCAGAGTCTTCTAACGTCTGAAATTCTCAAAAGTTTCATCCTTAGTCTTTTGGATGAATACCCATAACTTCCTGGAATAATCATCAACTATGGATAGAAAACACCTTGCTCCTGAATGTGATGGACACCTTGCAGGCCCCTAAAGATCAACATAGATGTAATCAAGGGATCCATGAGTTCTTTGTTTGTCTTTGTTGAACTTCACTATGCAAGATTTTCCAAGTACACATGGTTCACAAAATTTTAGCTTTTCGACTTTGTCTCCTCCAAGCAGATTTTGTTTCCATAATTCGACCAGACCCCTTTCACTGACATGACTCAATCTCATGTGCCAAATTTCTATTTTTGACAACGGTTTCATGGATGCAATATTTTTCGAACTAGTTACAACTTCAACCTCAAGGGTATACAAGCCTTGTTTCTCACGCCTATCAAGATTTCCTTCGACCTCTTCATGACTCTTAGAATACTTTTCTCTCTTTGAAAAACATATCCATTCCTGTCAAATTCACCAAGAGAAATCAAATTTCTCTTCAAATCAGGTACACACCTGATTTCAGTCATTAACCTTATTGACTCATCATGGAGCTTGAAGCTTATAGATCCAATACCTGCAATTTTGCAAGATTTGTTGTTTCTCAGAAGCACTAATTCACCATCTTGATCACATAGCTCCTCGAACAATTCTCTGTTTGGAGTCATGTGCCAAGTGCAACCTGAATCTGTAATCTACTCTTTTCTTGATTCTCCGCTTGAAACCACAAGAACATCAGATGATTCAAAGTCATCTTGAACAATGGATATGTTGCCATTATATTTACCTCCATGATCTTTCAGGCGTTCAGAGCACACTTTTCTTGTGTGAGTCTCCTTCTTACAGTGATAACATCGAATACCAGATGCCTCACCACTATAAGACTTCTGCTAACTTTTACTTTTCTTCTTGTCGAACTTACCATTCTTTTGCAAGAATTTTCCCTTAACGACCAAACCTTTACCAACCGTCGAAGGTTTATGCTCCTTTCTTTCGTTCAAGTCCTTCGAATACAGGGCTGATTGAACTTCTTCAAAGTTCAGAGACTCCCTTCCATATAGAAGAGTTTCTTTGAAGTGAACATGTGCTATGGGTAAAGCACACATCAACAACAGTGCTTGACCTTCATCATTGATCTTCACATCAATATTTTCAAGATCAAGAATCATCTTGTTGAACATATCCAACTGCTCAGCCAATATTTTGTCTTCACTCATCTTTAATGAATACAAAGCTTGCTTCAGGTATAGTCGATTCACCAGAGATTTGGTCATTACAAACTTTCAAGTTTCAACCATAACCCCGATGTCGTAGTCTTCTTTGATATCTGTCGAATAACCTTATCACCAAGGCTCAACAATATTGCGATGTGGGCTTTCTCTATCATGGTCGTCTTTTCTTTTTCCATTAATGCAGCGTCCATGACTGCCTCTCCCTTCAACACTTCTAAACAACCCTACTGAATCAGTAGGGCTTTCATCTTCAAGCGCCACAGATCGAAGTCATTCACTCCGGTGAACTTTTCAATCTATACTTTGTTGAAGGCATCTTTTCCACGCTCACCGCACCAATTTGTTGTGAATTAGGATGCCTTAAAATAAAATATACTTGATTTCTTTATGATCAAGAAACACACAAGGGTTAGGGTTAAGGAAAAACAAGGAGAACAATAAGGATTGGTTATAAATTCTATTCTTTACTTTCTCTATAAAACAGATTACAAATGCTCAAGAATAACAAATAACCCTCTCACCCTAATTAGGTTTTGTCACACCACACATAAGATGAGAGACTAGTATGCTATTTACAATAAAACCTAACATACTAAATTAATGGGTTTTTTTAACAATTATCGATTATAAGCTAACTTATGGTACAAGTTAACTTAAACAATTGGATCCTTAATACATGGTCCAATTCGACAACTACATATTAGAACACAATTCGAATACAGCGTGTAGGAATTTGACAACAACATGTGAGTAAACTTCGATGACATGCTACCTAGAGTTCAATCCAATATCTCACATTTCTGCATTTGATTTCTATACAACTAAAAATTGAGCTGAACTAATGAAAAAATTCTATTATATTTCTTATTAATTAATAATTTTTTTTCTAAATCTTTTGTTTTATATAAATGTATGTTTGTAAAGTACTTCTTATTTAATAAAATATAAGTAAAAATAAAAAATATATATATTTATTAAGAATATCCAAACATAATTATTTGATTTTTTTTATATAATTTTTTTTGGAAAAGTATAAAATCAAATTTATTTTATTATTGATTATGGAGAAAAAAAAAGTGGAAGAAAAAGAAAACTAAATGCAAGATATTATTGATTATGTAGGTAAGATGCTCACCTAATGATTGCACGAATTCTATATTGAAGTGGTTTGATGAACAAGCTACAGGGTCAGTGGTATATGTTTGCTTGGGAAACAAGACACAGACAAAGAGGGAACAGATAAAAGATATGGCTAATGGGTTAATATCATGCGGTTTCAAGTTCATATGGGTGATGAAATTGAAAGTAGTTGACAAGGAAGAAGAGAAAAATTTAGAGGATGTATTAGGAAATGAAACGATGAAGAAAGTGAATGAAAAAGGTATAGCCATAAATGCTCAAGGTATATCTCAGCATTTGAAGTGATAGACATTTTCTAAATAATGAGATTTATATGAATTATACCCAATACAAAAAGAGAATATTGAAAAATAATATTAAAGCACTCCTATAATATTGAATAATAAGGGTATATTTGATTTGGTTTTGTAAAACTGTTCTTTTAGTTTTTAAAATTTAAAAATTTGAAATTTTGTTTGGTAATCTAGTTTTACAAAATTATTATTGAAAATTATTCTCTACTTGAGAGTTTTAAAAACTAAAAAATCTAAATAGATTTTGGATGTTTTTGGTTTTGGCTTTTAATTTTGAAAATTAGAAAGAGTAAAAAAAAAATGGTACATTTTTATTAATGGCAAAATTGTAATATTCTTCAACTTCAAAACAATTTTCAAAAATTAAATTATCAAAAATGTTTTATTTTTCAAAACTCTTTTTTATAATTTTTTACATAATAAATTTTAAAAATTAAAAACTAAAATTCATTCAAACCGGTCCTAAGGCTTTATATTTTTAATTAGTTTATGGTGTATATTTTTTGGGTTAAGTTATATCTATGTTTTCTTGATTGTTTAATGCTAGTTAACTAATTAGCTTAGCTAGCAATGCATTAGGAAAAGAAGTAAGTTATGTAGGTAATTTTTAAACTAATAATATAAAATAATTATGTTTTATTCTAATAAAATGTGTGCTCTTGTATCTGGTATTATAATATATAGTACTTAATGTATTTTTTTTTATAAAAAAAAACTCTAATTTTTAAGGGAGAAATAATTAAAAAGTGATAAACATACATGAAAATAATTACCTATGAATGAAAAATTGAATCTTTGAATTTTTAGAAGTTGAGTTTGTTATAGATTAATTAAGACTTTAGCTACAGATTATCTATTATTTATGAGCTCAACTATGATGTTGACTTTAGCCATGTGGCATGTCACACAAGTATCTTTGTTATGCTGATACTTCTACATGTACGCCCATAACCTTGTGAAAATTGATCAATGATGTTTTAATGTTTTTGGCATCATGAACTGCGTACTGCTCTGGGTAATCTTACACCATATTGATTGACGGGTAATCCCCCATTTTGTTTGGTAGGATCTCTCCTCGGTCTATCTGATTTTGGAGAGCTGCTCGTACGAGATAGCATCCTTGGTCATTTTCTGAACATATCCCGCAACACTCATAATTGTGGGGAGGTATTCGACCGTATCCACTTTGTATGCAATGCATCTTTACCAAGTCTGTTTCCAATAAGAGAATGTCACAACTTTCATGTCTACTTGGGCATTCATTAACTATGTTGACTTGATGAGTGTCTGTGTTCTGGTATATTGGGAACCACCAGTGATCTAATAAGTGTTGAAGAGTTCTTTGCACGAGTGCGCAACCTTGGTCGTTCTCGAAGCAATCTTTACAATATCGATAGTTGTGTGATGCTAAAAAGCCAAGTCTAACTTGTTTGGTGTGTAGTTCTACAAAACCCGTGCTCATCAGGCAAATGTCGAAGATTTGAACTTTGTTTGGAAATTCATCAATCGTGTTGACTTAATAGTTATTACTTCCATGATAATCCTGAATCCATCTCAGATTCATTTGACGTTGGAGAGCCTCTTGCACAAAAGAACACCCTTGATTATCCTTTGAACTAATTGAGCAAGCGCTGTAATTGTGCAACGACAAATGATAATGTTGACTTTGTTTGGAGTGCATTGCCACCAAGTTTATATTCATTAAGCGGATGTCAAAATTTTGAACAATGCCCGGACATTCATAAACTATGTTTACTCCGTGAACTCTGTGATCTTGGATCCAACCCAGATCCATCTGCTCTTGAAGGGCTTCCTGAACAATGTTGCACCCTTGGTTGTTCTTAGAACAAATATCGCATTGATGATAGTTGTGAGGTGGTATATGGTCATATTCACTCTGTCTGCAATGCATCTTAACCAAATTTGTGTCTAGTAAGCGCACATCATTGATCCGCTGTCGCGCGCGGATCAAAACATGTAGTTTGGAAAACTGTAGTTTAGCGACAATGACTCGAGTCGTATCGCAAGGATTCTTGTAGTGATTGACCAATAAAGTAACAGTTATGGGGGGTTTGGATTTTTGATTAAGAGAAAAAAACTGAAAATAAGTGATTATCAAAATAAGCTGAAACGGTTAATCTGCTGTTTTAGTTTCCCAACTTATCATCGATCCTAATAATTCCCAATTCCTAAGCGGATTATATCCCCTTTTCGATTATAATAACAATCAAACAAGTGCAATTGATATTATACGAAACATATTCCTAATTTCCGAATTAAGCAAACGGATAAAATATAGTAACCGTGAATTAAGCAAACACGAGAAACATACGCGGATTAAGCAAACGTGATTAAAGTATAAGAACATGCAATCATCGAAATAAATCAATCATCCCTAAGATAATTCGAATTAAGCAAACAAGATATCATAGAGAAGAATTGAAAGGAAATAGATTTTATTGGAAGAATTGAAAGAACCTCAAAGTGTCGGCGGAAACCGATTACAGCATATTAACGTGAAGGAATTAGTTCTCCATAATTCGTACAAAGCTTCCACAATATTTTTCGTGAATAGTGTATCATATGAACAGTAAAACGAGGTTCTTTTTAAATGAAATTCATAACCCAACTGGGTCGAAAACATAACCAAGGCTCAAAACATGACCCAAAACTAAAACAAATTCCTAATGCTGTAACTTCAACGAATATTCTAGGAAAATATGCTCCGAATCTGACTTCGACTCCAACATGAAAGTCGTAGCTCTCTCTCTTAGATTTCCGACGATTTTTAGAACGCCTCAAACGGATTCCCGGAACTCCAGTTATGATCGTTTCCGTGCAGACTGCTAAAGGTGAAAAATAAAGTGCGAAAATCAAATTAAACCAAAAATAAAATAAAATATAAAAATATAATAAAACATAAGAATAATCAAAATAAAATAAAGAAATGCCTAAGTAAAAATATAGGAGAATATTCCAAAAGATGCACTGATCAATCATAAATTTGATAACTGTTGCCAGGACTTTCATCAATCAAGTTTATAGAAGTCTTCTCATGCCGCGGTAATGAATTCTTTTGAACATTTGGGTTAGTGTCCTTGAAAGATAAAATTCCACTCTTGACAAGTTTTTTTACATCGGATTTAAAACTGAAACAATTATCGATGTTATGCCCCGGTGCTCCTTGATGATAAACACATAATTGGCCAGCCTTGAACTAATAGGGGGGATTTTCGGGAACGACGGAAAGAGTCCTGGTTTGAATGTGTCCTTTTACTAGCATAATTGAGAATAGCTCTGCATAGGTCATTGGTATAGGATCAAACCCTGGTGACCTCGAAATACAATTATTGTTGTTGTATTGCGGACGAGCCTGCTGAAGAGGATGTTCTTGCCTTTGTTGATATTGTGGTTGTTGAATTTGCTGATTTTGAGAAATTTATGGTTGATATGCCGGAACTGGCGCTGAGTTGATAACATGAGATATCGTTGCTACATGTTGATGTTGGTACCTTCGTCTTTGTTTACCCTGTGTGATAGTGCTGATATCTTGCTCTTTCTTCTTCTAGAAAGTTCTTACATACCTCTTGTTACAGTTGGAGGGTTATGCATCCTTGACCAATCGACCTTCTCGAACTGCTTCCTCAAGGCGCACTCCCATGTTTACCATCTAGGTGAAGCTGCTAGGCGCACTTGCGACCATTCGGTCATAATAGAATAAGCTCAAAGCTTTCAAAAAGATTTTTGTCATCTCCTTCTCCTCAAGAGGAGAACAAATTTGGGCAGAAATTTCACGCCACCTCTGAGCGTATTCTTTGAAAATTTCTTTATCCTTTTGAGACATAGCTCTGAGTTGATCCCTATCAGGCGCCATCTCCAAATTGTACTTGTATTGTTGAACAAAAGCTTCTTCAAGATCTTTGTACAGTTTAATCCCATGTACCATTTGAGTGCGACACCAGTTAAATTGTCTTGAAAGTAGTGGATCAGTAACTGTTGATTTTCTGTCTGGGTAAACATCTTCCGATCGTACATCACTAAGTAACTTTGAGGGCAGGAATTGCCTTTGTACTTTTCAAAGTCAAACACCTTGAACTTGTGTGGTATTTTAACATTTGGGACTAAGCAAAGATCGACAACATCTTTTCCAAACAAGTCCTGTCCGCGAATGCCATGGAGTTATTTCTATATTTCCAAGAACTATTCATGGAATTCATTCATTCTTTCATATACTTCTATATCCTTGCTTGGAGTGGTATGAAAGATTTGTTATTCTAGAATGGTATGTACCATAGGCTGTGGTATAGTCATTATTATTGCGGCTTTTGGCACTTCTGTAATCTGAAGTTTGTAATCTTCAGGTATAGGAATCTATGTCGTAGCTCTTGCATCTTCATTTACCTGAAGTTTATAACCTTTAGGTATGAAGATTCCGGTCGTAGCTTCTGGTTCTTCGGTGACCGGAGGTATATATCCTTCAGGAAAAAAATTGAAAGGCATGCCCCCAAGGGAAACCTTTAGGCATGTTGTACTGAGGAAGACTGATGGGTACCTCAAACGTTGGTGCAGACACAATTTCTGAGATCGCAGTTCTTTGAGATGGCTGATTCTGAGCTGCTGCCAGTGATTTAATCATGATGTTGAGTCTTTCCATACTTTCTTTTAGAGTATTAACTTCCTCTCTTAGTTCTCTATTTTCTTCCTTAAGATCGTCCATTTTCTTCTGACGAGTTGCAAGAGTATTATATGAATGGATAGTTTGACTCTAAAGTGCGATAAATGTGTAATTGTTTTATGAAAGAAATGTGTGAAATGTTAGAATGATGCATGATGTGCAAAAAATGAAAACGTTCTCCTTTTTTAATATTTAAAAGAACTCTTAACATTTATTTTGCAAATAGCGTACAACGACGAAAACATTTATTGAATTCAAAATATTACAATACCTTACAGAGAAAATTACATTATTTTACAAAGTGCAGGAAGGAAAAC